CAAACCAGTGAGGGCCGAACTAGTACTCAGGTGGGTGACCACTGGGGAATCCTCGGTGTTGTATGTTTTTGCCTCCCATCCGCCTTCCTGTATGCAGACCATGTATGTGAACCTCTCTTGAAATGGGCGCATTTGGCAATGACATACGATTGACGAGATGCAAAATCAGTATTCGATTCATATTTCCCTGGCCAGCGATTTCTGCGAATCCCCGTCTTGTGCCAAACCGATCGCCATTACCGAAACCCTTCCCACAAAAAGGGTTCTTTGAAGCTGCCCATTCTCTGCGAAGTGGCCTGCCTAATGCCGGCCACTAATTACAGACGTTCGTGAGGCGTGCCGCAGTCATAGCATAGCTTTGCTACACCCATCCCCTCCGGCCGGTCGAGAACTCTATTCGCCTCATCCATCTCGTCCAAGTTCCATTCTGCTATGGTATGGGTCCGTATCTTCTCATAGAGAAACGGATTTCGTTGCATAGTGTCGTCCGGGATGTCGCTATTCCTGATATCAACGCAGCGCAGCGGAATACCCCTTGCTTTTAGCTCCTGGATCTTCTTTTCCTTGCGATCCAAGATGGCGAGGCTGAGCATAAGAACCTCGAACTGCACTAGCTCGGGCATCTTCCGGTCCAAGTGCTGCCGTTGCGGCGGCGGCGGCGGGGTGATGTAGAAAGGCCTCTCTGTAGAGACATGTTAGTATCATGGCTTCACCGTGGCAGTACGGGTACAGGTGGAAAAGTTGGTACCTTTGGTGTAGAAATTGGGGACAGGCCCCAAACTTTTGAGCCATCTGACAAGGCTCTGCTCTTTGGGCTGTCTCGGTTTCAGGGACAGGAGGTGGGCCGCGATGGGCAGCTCGAAGCCGGGAAACAGCGACGCGATGTTGCGCACGATGTTCTTTTCCTCGTCCGGCCCCAGGTTTGGAGGAAGGAGCCCGTTGATTGTCGACAGCCAGCACGTGCGCCTATCCAGAACCCACCTCGCCCACCGGAGCTTCCCTTCCCGATCGCGATTCTCGTCCAGCTCTGGCATCAAGTCCAGCAGACCACGATCGACCATGTCCTGCGCCGACACGACAGTGGACCTCCCCCCGATCCTGAGCGCCCCCTGGGACAGGTACTCGCCAAAGTAGAGACGGCCGCCCCCCCGCCTGTCGACCCCTCGCCAGTTCTGCAGGTCGTCCCGGAGCTCGCGGTGGTGGCGGGCGTAGTGGTCGATAAGATACATGTCTCGGACGAACACGCCGGGTGGGAGGCCGTCGGTGCGCACGATGCACAGCCGGATATCTGCAGGGGCGGGCATTTCGTCGTGGTCGGGGTCTTTGGCGAGATAGAACATGTAGCGGAGGGCAAAGAGTAGCGAGCTTGTCCACGACACCAGGTTCCACCGCTCGCGATTGTGCACTTTCCAGTTGAGCTGTTCGTAAAGAGAAGTGGCCGCCTCCTCGCAGTCAAGCGAGAGGAAATCCTGCTGGCTGTGCGTGGGGGCATCCGGCCTGTGGTCGAGGGAAGCGTCCAGCGAGAGAGCCCAACTGTTGGTGTTGTCGAGCTTCGCGGCGAGATGGGGTGTAAGGACCCGAAAGAGGAAAGGGGGTACGTCGCTGAGCCCTTTGAGAATGGAATTCTGGGTTGTATCATTGGGCCTGAAAGGTAGGTAGTCCGGCCGCAACTCAGCCTCTGTCGAGACTGTGAGGGACTGGATGTTTTGGACGAGATCGTCGATGGAGGAACTCATTGTGATGTGGGTAACTTTGGATGCTGGAGACTCGTGAGGTTGAGGCACTCGAGTCCCCCTTCTGTCAACACTTGAGGAGGAGGACCTGGGCTTTTATCCGAATTCTAGGGTGAGCAAAGTTCGGTAAACTACTCGATTGTGTGCTGCGACTGTCTAGAATCTCTTGGCTGCGAAACAGGCAGCCCTTAAGCCTCGTTCAAGCTGTCACGCGCAGCACCTGTCTAGGCTGCCAGGCGGAACCAACACCCGCTGTGGGACCCAGGGCACACGTAGAGATATCCAGGGCTGACTGCCCGCCTTGGCATCAAATTGAATCTTACATGCTATTGGGCGGCAAGGATGGCTTGGTATGCCGGAGGCCCCCCCAAACGTGGGGAGGCGGTTCAATCAGCCTGGCCTGGAAACATGGCTGCCAACATCAATTTCCATCTAGGAGGCTGCCTCAGAACCCCTGCCAATATTCTCCTGTTTGCTTTTTGGTTCTGGGTCAATTCAGCAAAGTCGAAGGCAAAGCGGACCGGCGGCTGCATCTTGCCAGCTCCTTCCACCCAACCGCCAGAAACATCTAACCGGGTCTCATAGCCTGGGTAGCCAGTCGAACAGGCAGCAAACGACCCGGACAGCCCATAGACCGGCCGACCCGAGCACGCAAACCATGGCCCCGTCCCAGCTGTTAGGGATCACGTAGGGCAAAGAGGCAAGGCTGCAATAAGCACCAGGTTGATATGACTATCTAAAGGTGAGGAGTACAAGGAGGGAATGGGCGCGTTGCACCCATCCCACGCGCAACGTTTTCTCCAACCGTGGGTCCAGTGCACGGGCCCCCTGTCCGATCGGTCGCCACAGCGGCTCAGCGACTCCCCAGGCGCCATACAGGATTCGGTTTCGTCTGGCAGACAGCCTCTATCAGCTCCTTGATCACTTCGACACTCAGCCCAATGAGCCCCATCAAGTCAAGGTATCCTGGGGAAGTAGAGTTGACGAAAAGATTGAATTTCTCGTACCTTGCCCTTTCGTACGGGCTATCGAATCCAGGTAAAAATGATCTCAGCGTGGGGTGGACCTTGGAGGGGATGGCAACATCGTATAGTGCCCGGATAGCCAATGCCGCCCAGAGGAAGGTGCCCTGAAAGTTCTTGAAGAGATGCTATTCAACCCCAAACCTGGTTTGAGGGTCGTATCTTTTGCGAGCAGCCAAAGTTTCCACCTCGTGGTGCACGGAGGCTTTGACGGCAGCAGATACGGAGTCCTTGTTGAGCTCAAGGGATAGTCGGGAAATTTGTTCCGCAGTCCGCAGCCGTTCTTCGATATTGTAAAAGCTTCGGCTGGAAGCGATCCATTTAACTCTTGGGCAGGTGGATAAGATCGTGCACTCGTCAAGCGCATCGATGACAAGGAAGGCATGGGCGTCGCCCGAGTTCTGGACCAGGAGTGGGCGTCGAAGGATGTTAAGCAGAATTCCTTGGAGGGCATAGGTAACACTGGGGCCTTGGAAAAGCATCTCTTTGTCGTTGTCGAACCTTGCTCAGATGTGCCTGATAGCAGGGTGGCGGAGATTGACAAGAAGGTATATCAAACCGAGCAGCACAGCTATGGCGCTATTGATCCGGTCGTCGGCAGCCTGGCAAAGGAAGTAGGCTAGACACGCACCCGGGTTGATGGTCTTGCGCTCGTTGATAATCCCGCAAAGCAACATAGTCTTTCCCTTGCCTGGATCCCCCTTGATCCACAGCAAGCAAGCCTCATCTGTTGTGAGAATTCTCGGGGGCTGTATTTCACCACTGTCGTTAGCGAAACTTCTTTCGTTTTGGTATCACTAGCCGGATCGCGGAATGTCAACGCTTAGAGGACGTTGTTCTGAGCTCTGATAGCCGGGACAGAGAAGTTGGGTAGGTACCCAGGTACGGATCTGGGATGCGGACAAGGGGAGGAAACAAGCCTAGACCTCCAAGATGTCTTGCTACTTGCCTTGTGGTGCAAAATTAAACGTTCCCCCACTGACGCTCCCAAAGACATGCCCCCCTCCGGTGCTGTTCAGGGTGTTATTGTTGCCGATCTGGTTTTGCTGCGTGCCAGTGCCTGCAATCGAGATGCTTGTTCCTCTAGCCTCCAACATAGAATCAGGGATCGACTGCCCAGTTTCCTCAAGATCGGTCAGGGCCTGCTTCAGGAGGGACAGCTGCTGTTCGCGCGCGGTTGCAACTGAGCAGTGCGCCGCAAGACGGACCATCGCCTGGATGAGATCTTTGAGGAGGTCCTCAACGCGTCCTTTTTTCCCCCATCGGCGGACAATCGAGACGTACTTGTCGATCAAGGAGTTGGAATCGTCGACCTTGAGCTTCTCCGAGATCAGGCTGAGCTTGTCCACCTTTGGCTGGCATGACGCGGCGACCTTGTTGATCTCCTCGAGTCGAACAATAGTGGCAGTGCGGGCCTCCTCCTGGATCGTCTCGAGAGTGCCGATGATGATTGAGATTTTGGGTTCGACCTGCCGAAATATCACTGGGAGGTCGCGCATATCCTGGATGGACTTGTAGCCATCGCGCGCTGAAGTGCAGACGGCGACAACACTGGCAATAGTGCCAATGACGGCCTCGGCCCCGGACATGGCAAGTTATTGAAACCCGAAAAGAGGTAGGTATCGCAGGAATCACTCCATAGCAAAGTCGGAGTTACAGCAGAGCGAAAGGTTCAACGAGAGTTGAAAGCGGTAGCAAGAGGCCGAAACGAAAAGGGGTGCCGTGTTTGCGTACGGAAGAAACCACCCACCAGTTTCCAACAAAAAACCGCACAGGTTATATTTTTCCCCACCAAACTCTATAGCAAAAAAAACATCAAAACAACAGCTGGGCCCGGAAGGTAGGACCCAAAAGCAGCCGCATGCCAAGCCAACCTCCGGCTTGAGGTGCTTTAGCACCGCCTTGAATGGAATTGGAATCGCACAACCCTCCCAAGAACCATGTTCTTGCGAAAAAGGCTACTGAGCCATGCAGCCGAGCCCGTCCGCTTCCAAGTTGCTAAGATGGGAGAAACGCGAAAAGGGAAACAACCACGTCTTCAGTCTGTATCTTGACGACGGTTCGAAACTCGTCGCTGAGGTTCCATTCCAAATGTTTGGCCCTGCGCGGCTAATCACTAACTTCGAGGTTGGTACCATATCCTGTAGCGATCTGCTTTATTTCCCCCAAAAGATACAGCAGTGGAAGCTTACCCTTCTTCTCTTCGAGTTTTTGGGCAAGTTTGTTTGTCAGGCAGTTCCACGAAGCAACCTATCCTCTTCACGCCACCCGTTTCCTCCCCAAATGCGAAAAGATCCTGCCTTGGCGTGTTTGGGTCGTGCTATTGGGGGGAGTAAAAGCGCCACGAGCACATTGTACATTGTCCAAGGATAATGCACACCTATGGATTAAACACAAGTGGGTGTGTATGGTGGGGCGCAGCAAGCGGCTGTTGAATGGTAGGGAGCACTTGGTTGGCCGAGTGTATGCTGGGTGATCTAGAGGGCGATTCTCCAGCGCCGAGCTGGACCCTGGATACTGACCGTCACTCGGAACAATGATAAACACTATACACGTCTTCCATTATCCCCTGCCTCGTTCTATCTGATACAAGCCTAGGGCGGGCCACCATCTTGATACATCTGATATGTCATCACCTCCAGCTAACCATATAAATCGGAATAAAAGCAGCTTGCATCATCTCGCGCAATAACATGTGCTTCACGAGCGAGACCAGTTTGCTCCAACTAACAACCTTACAAAACATGCTTAGTCAGGAAAAGCAAACAAGAGACTTTTGGAAAGATGCTATTGGAAACAGAGCCGACAAGCAGCAGATGCAAGAATACAACACTCGTTAGTCCATCCTTGGTATGCAGTCGAATACTCGGGCAACCATCAAGACGCCAGTGACGACACCTTGTCAGGCTCAAGCAGCCCGCATCACCTTCTCATTGTCGCCGCTCGAATAGTCGTCCGTGCTGAAACGCACCATCTTCCTGGCCTCGCTCGCACTCGAGCTAGCACAGCCCGCCTTGGACGGGGCTTCAAAGGCGGCCTTCTTGTCGTTGGACCTCATGACGAGGACCGTGGCCGAGACGTCGTCGGGGCTCACCAGGTCAAAGTCCCCAATGAGGCTGCAGGCCGCCGGGGCCGGGCCGGCGATCTACTGCCGAGCAACAAACGGCGCCACGACGGCCGCCACGACGAGGGCGCACACGAACTGCAAGCACTGCACCGCGAGGGCGCCCGGCCACATCAGCACGAACATGACGAGCTCCTCCAGCGGGTAGACGTCGTCCTGGGACTTGATCATGTACCGCCGCGTCATGCCTGCCGCGGGCGGATATGCCTGGCTGCTGTCTGAGCAACCGCAGTCGATACTGTTGGAGTTGAGATCGTGACGTTAGCAGGCCAAGAGCGGCACGACAAAGCGGACATCTGTAGATGGTAAAAGGCACGAACCATCGGCTCCGACAGCAGTCTGACCCAAGCGGGCACGCGCAGCTATCCCTCCGTGAAGGCATCTTGATGCTCTGAACAGGGCCTACCGCCAGCTCGTGGGTGCTGCCCGAGCCCCCGGCGACGCCGAGCGGCCGGCCTGGGAGGGTCTCTACCCCTTTGCCCTTCAGGTCCGTGGGGGTGTCCGCGGGGGTGCCCGCGGCCGAGGAGAGGCTCTCCTCGTCGTCGCCGTCGTAGCTGAGCGGACGGCGCTTGCGGCCCTGATCGACATCCGAGGCTCTGGCGGGGCGGACCTCGTGGGGCCGGCCGTCCTTGTCGACGTCGACTGGCTGCATGTGCAAGACCACCATCCGCTTGACATCGGCGCTGCACAGCGGGATGAGGACGCGGAACGTCTGGCGGAGCAGCAGGACCACCTTGTTCTCGACCTTATCGAACGCTGGACGCGTGTAGAATGCGTCAGTATCGGTAGAGTTGCCCCGAGAGAGGGAAAGGCACAGAAGGCCACACCTCTGGCCTCGACGTGCACAATGCCCTCGGGCGATAGGGCCTTCTGGACGCGGTACAGGGCCTGGACCAGCCTGCGCGAGTTCCATCCCCGGATGCTGTAGATGCAGGCGTCCTTGTAGTCAAAGGCCGGGACCCGCAGGAACGGGTTGCTAAAGGTGCAGTCCTCGGAAAAGTAGCACTCGATGATGTGGTCTTGGTTGTTGGGCGTGCTGCTTAGGAGAATCTCCATGAACTCGGCGGTGAGCTTGTCTAAAGGGAGACGACGTGGCGTCTTGTCAGCGAAGATGCTCTTGCATCTTACAGAATGGCGTGTTGGGATAGGGGAGCTTGGCTTACTGGGTTTGTGGAAGCCACAGAGTGGCAACCTGGACGGTTGCATCAGTTGGGCCGACATGTTGAGAGCGGGCTTTTGCAGGGTCCGCGGTGGGAATAGAGTAGATGAAGCTATGTTAGCGAACACCTAGAGATGTACCAAGATGGGCGACGGTCAGCGAGGCAACTTGAACAAGCCGAGTTGAATGTCTGGTGGCCGCTCATCAGATGTTTGGGCTGGCAAACAAGAGCGAACACAAACGGAACCCAAGTCTCTCGCTCTGTGAGAAGCTCCATCCAGTCAAGCACCTGCCTCTCGAAAGAGGGACGCATCAGGTCTGACATGCACCTGCCTGGGGATGCTTGGCAGGAGCGACTTCTGTATGGGGTTGACATGACATGACATGACGAAGCCTAGGAAAGGAGGCAAGGAGATGCGATTCTACTCCTTCCTAGATGGAGCCCTTCTACGCCAGATGCCCTGCATCTTCTGGAGAACCCCTCAACCCAAGACACCGTCCATTTGCAAACGGAAAAAACAAGCCAAGTATAGAAGAGTAACAAACAGGGTCAGAACTAGGCAAAGTATACAGTAAAACCAACCATGATTCTTTGACACATGACAGGGTAAAACGTAAAGGCGTAGTATCCAAGAAAAGTAGTATGCAAAAAGATAGTATCCAAGAAGCAGACAACAACCCAACCCAACCCAGCCCAATCCAAAAAAAAAAAAACCAACATCGCCCACCCCCAATCCACACTACCTCCTCCTCGAGACGCTCCTCTCCCTCTGCTCGTAGTAGATCCTCTCGCCCGTCATGCCCGAACCCCTCCTGCTCCGCCTGCGGGGCGGCGGCGAGCGCTCCTCGATGACCACCACCTCGTCCTCCTCGTCGGCGCTGTCGTCGCTGTCCATGGGCACGATGCGGGGGCCGGGGACGGGGATGCCGCGCTCGGGGAGGCTGCTGCCGGCCGACATGCGGCGGGCCCGCGCCGTGCGCGTCGACTCCTCCACCACGACCCGCTCCACGTGCGGCGGCGGCGGCGGCCTGCCCATACCTCCACCACCACCTAGGGCCGACATCTCGCCGTCATCCAGTATGATGGGCCCCCGGGCCGTCGTCGAGGTGCGCACCTCGACCGTCGACCCGCGCCGGCGGCTGTGGTGGCGGCTGCTGCGGTGGGCGCTCTGGGAGGAGCGACGGCGCGCCGCCGCCGCCGACGCGTGGCGGTGCCGCGACGACTTGCGCACCTCGACGACGGACGCGGTGCCGCCGTAGGAGGAGGTGGCGTCGGTGACGGCGCGCGGCGCGTTGCCCATGTTGATGCACACGTACACGAGCCACAGCACCAGCAGGAACCCGGCCAGCGACCCCAGCGTGATACCCACCACCGCCCCCGGCTCCGGCCCCGCCGTGTGGTAGCCCCCCGGGACGGTGCTCGTCGTGGCCGCGAACTGCCGCGCCGCGAGCGCCCGCGTCGGCGGGTCCGCGTCGCTGCCGGTCGTGGTTGGTGATAGGAGGCTGAGGGGGAGCGGCGCGGGGACGGAGATGAGGAGCGAGCGGGGTGACGGTTTGTTGTTGTCGTCGTGGCTGTTGTTGTCGAGGAGAGCGTCGCTGGCGCGCCGGACGACCGTGCCGACGAGCTGACGCGCCGCCGTGGCGAGGTTGGGCGGGATTAGGGGCGCCATGGGCGGTGTGCTCGGCTGCTGGGCGATTGATTTGGGACTCGATCGGCTCTCGAGGTTCGGGTATTGGGGAAGTCTGTCGCCGCGATGGCTTTCTTTGGTGTTTTCCACGGCTGTTGCTTTTTTTTCCCTTCCTTTTTCAGACGAACGATAAAAAGGGGTATAGTCGGCTGCTCCCGAGCAGCTGCCAGACAGACGTCGTTCGAGCTTGCAGGGACTGTCCCGACGGGCGGCTGTCCCGATCAGATATTGAACCGATCAGATTGCTGTCCCGTCTTCTGGGCGACAGCAGGCTGGCGGCTTGTCAGAAGCAAAAGAAAAGGGTTCTAGCAAGGTTGGTTGGGGTTGCCGCGGCGGCGGTACGTGCTCTGGCACTCCGCTCTGGGCGCCGCAATCTGGCCGACTGGGGCAAGTGGGGTTTGTGTAGTCTGTGTGTCTCGTCCTGTGCCCTGTAGGGACGAAGTGACTGGTCTTGAGTCTGGTCCTAGGCCTGGGTAGAATGCTGGCCATCACTCGTGGCACATGTCCAGCTCTTCCTTGCGCGATGCGCCTACAGCACACCATCGAGCTAGGCTCTCTCAACAGCCAGACCGGCGACCTGATCGGCCCGCGTCTGAGGCTTGAGGCCGACTACTGCAGCAGACAGCCTCAAGAGCGCGACAGGGGTCTGCATCGATTGGGTGGCCGGCCGACGACGTTGCTTCCAGGGTGCGCCTAGTGGGGCCAGCTGCATCTGACCAGGGTGCTGCTGGTCCAGCCCATCTCACAAAGACTTCTTCTAGCATGCATAGAGCGGTACGAGGGGAACACAATGCATACACAGTAATAGCCTGACAAACACGGCCAGGTTAATTCCAACGGCTGCCCAGCCCTCACACAAACCCACGAATGCCTCTCATGCCACTGCTCTTCTTCTCCTTCTTTTCAGCCTCGTCCTTTTTCTTTTCCTTCTTATCCTTGCGCATCAGATTTTGCACGCCGCCTGCGAGATGCTGTTAGCAGAAGCCCCACTGATAGACCCGAGACCGAGACCGTAGATGAAGCCAATAAACAAACGTACCTCTACCGTAGTAGCGCTCCCCCTGCGGGCTGTTGCCGCTCGTCGTCGACGGGCTGCCGACGCCGCCCTGGGCCGGCGGCGGCGTCGACGGCCTGCGGATGGCCATGCTGGCCGACGACGCGCCCGAGCCGATGCTGCCCTGCTGCGACGTCCCGAGGCTCTCGGGGTCCGACATGCCCCGCTGCATCCACGCCGCGCGCTGGCTACCAAAGGACCGGCCCACGATGGCCGACACCTCGGCGTCAGCGTCGGCCGAGCCCGTCACACCGTCGCGCCCCGCCCGCGTGTTCTGCGCCCGGTCGAGCAGCTGCGCTTGCAGCACCGTGTACTTGCGCATCAGCTGCCCGTACTGCTTCTGCAGCTCCGCCTGTTTGGCCCGGCTCGCCGCGAGCGCGCTCTCGAACGTGGCCATCACCTCGTCGCTCTCGCCCCCGCCCCTCCCACCGCGCCCGCCTCCATTGAGCGCCGAGGCCAGCTCCGTGTTCAGAACCATCATGTGCGACTCGTAGTGGTCCTGCGTCGCCTGCAGCTCGCCCTGCAGCGACTGCACCTGCATCGCCAGCACTTCTGCCCGCTGCTCCGCCGCCGACGCCTCGGCGAGCTTGATCTCCGTCTCGAGCTGCCTTGCCTGGTAGTCCCGCTCCGAGGCCGTCAGCCGCTCCACCACCCCGCGCAGCCTGCCCAGCTCCGCCATGTCCACGTCGATGGACTGCATCGTCTGCTTCGCGTTGATCTCTTTGACCTCGAAATCACAAACCAGCGCCCGCAGCTTCTCGCACTCTTCCCTCGCGTAATCGAGCTCACGCTTCAGTGAGTCCATCTCCGCATTCCGCTTCTTTTGTTCCTCCCTCAGCGTCTTGAGCTTGGCCGAGAGATCTGCCTCCCACTTCTTGGCGAGCGTCCGGCTCCTCTCCGAGTCCTTCCTCACCTGAAGCTCGGCCCGTTTTGCGTTTTCGACCTGGCTCCTCAGATTGCGGTTGTTGATGATCAGGCTCTGCGTTTCCGCCTCGGTCGCCGCCTCCTTCATGTGGCACCGCCGCAGCTCGCCGATATGCGCCATGTGCTGCTGCTTCATGTATCGCTCAAAGTTGAGGTCGTTGTTGAGCACCATGATCTGTCGCCGGAGCCGCGCCACCTCACCGCCGTTTTCCGTCACGGCAAGCGGCAATCGTATTGCCGATTGCGCCTGAGGCACCGTGGTGCTGAACGGCCGCTCCGAGATCGACTCTTGGTGGCTCAATGCTAGAGACGGGACGCTGTCGTTGGTGAGAGACTGCCCAATGTTGGACTTCATAACCTTGTTCGAGTGAATCATCTCCTGGAGCTGCGTCTGGGATGGCGATAGCACCATGAGCGGATGCAGCGTCGGACTGTCCACGCTAGTATCACGCACCCTGAGCTCCAGCGACTCCTTCCTCGACAGGTGGCTAGACTGAGAGTTCTGCCTCATCACAGTAGAGTTTGCTCGACTGCCTGCCGACGATTCCACGGTCACCGACTGCCCATGCCTCCAGCTCGTGTTAAACGGCCCCTGCGGCGGTGACAAGACTACCGAGCTACTCAGCAAAGCTCCTCCAGAACTGCTCCTGTCGGCCTCGTCCCCACCATAGGGGCTGGTGTCACCCCCAAGGGGCGTCGAAGAGACCGCGTTTTCCGGCACCGGGCCGTTTGCTACGCACAGGGCCATGCATTCGGCTACAACAACTGCCGGCTCGCTCTTGATCCACCGTCCAAAGTCTGTCTTCTCCGAGTCGATCGTGAGGCTGTAGAAGTTGGGGTGGAGAAGGTGCATTTGGCGGAACTTTTCCGACCTATGCCGGATCTCGGACGGCTGCACCTCGATGTCGTCGGGGTTCGGGGCGTTGGCGTGGCGGAGGTAACGCTGGGGTTTTCGGATGTAGTCCATGAAGTTTATCGGGTAAAGCCCATAAAGAAGCGTAAAGTACTCCAAGAGTTGGGGGATTTCCACGTCTTCTGACTCGGGCGAGAACCTGACGGTTTCCCACTGATCTCCATCTCCAGCCGGAATGCCAGGAGAGGAAAGATTTGTTTCCGGTGATCTCTCCCTGTCCCAGAACAGCAGTCTGGCGTAGATGTTAAAAAGAGTGGGTAAGTATGGCACGAGAGCGCTCGGTAGATGAGGTAGCAGCATGGTGAGCGCCGTCAGGGCGAGAGATACGACCGTGGTTGACGTGTCGTGTTGGAGGCATGTTATGATATTGTCCAAGAGTGGCGTTTGTGCAACCAGGTGCAAGTGAGGCGGCTGCATCCTCACAAACTCGCAAAGTAGCGATATGCACCTTGCCCTCGACTCTCTTTTGAGGAAGCGCGCATTCAGAGTTTCAAAAAGGAGCTGGCGAGAATGCCTTGGTCAGCAAATCATTGTCGTGGGAGCTCCCGTACACATCCTGAATCAGCCGTTCCTGTTCTCATACCTTGGGCTGCTTCTTCCCCCAAGTGACAAGTGTTTGGCGGATCATTCTTTCTTTAAAGATAATCGAGGGTTCGCCGGACTGGGCAGCAACATCGGCAAAGCCTATCCAGCGGTCGAGTGAGCGCACCAGCATCAACTTCAACCCTTCAGAGTCGTCTAACTTGGACGCAAGCGTAGACTCGATAACAGAAAGCGTCTCTCCCGCCAGGTCCTTCTCCTGCCAGACGGACTCGAGGACATCGTCATTAAGGATCTCGAACCACTGGAGGGCCTTTGGGCCGGTGAAGAGGCTGGGGCGTAGGCTGCTCAGGATGCTGAGGAAGGCGGCAAACCGCGCGGGATGGCCGTGCACGAACCTCTGGTGCAGCTGCAGGAGCTCCTCCTGCAGGCGGTCGGCGGCAGGGTCATCTCGTCGGGGGTGCTTCTCGAGGTAGGCCTCGATAACCAACCCGAGGCCTTCTGGGAGCGGCAGGGTCGGGGAGGAGAGGAACGTGCTGATGGCCTTGACCAGATCTTTGACGGATCTGACGCCCAGGGAGATGTGTCAGATAAGACATTCCCTTTGCGACGGCGGGCTGATGCGAGGTGATAGGCGGGCACTGCCCGCGCAGAAACGGTTCAAGAGAAACCTGGGCCTTGCTGTTTCTTGTAACGCCCCGCCTGCTCGCCGCCAGCGCTACATGACGTAATCATAGACAGAGGAGAGACTCACGCTGTTGCTGACATTGCTGCTGGGGGTGTGGTCTTACCACTGCCTGCCCGCCTACAAGATAGTGTAGGTACTTGGTGGTATGCGACGACGTGTTCCCTGGCTCGTTGGAGCAGGACCGGCAGCTCCACACAAAGGCAACGATGGCATTTACACGAGGATGGGGCGCAAGGTCGAATCGAGTCACTGCGGGTCGGTGGCGCGACCCAGACGGCGGGATGAGATGGACGATCGCAAAGGACAGTATCAGGCAAGAGTTCAGGGGTCCGACGGCGTGGCCATCTCACATTGGGCTGGACGGCGGAACACGGCGCTCGACAGCCGCCACCTGATGTTTACTTTTTCCGTCCGTCTGGCGCGCGTGTGATGGCGGCTTCGCGCCAGTGCTTTTGAGCTGGTTCGGCAGCTCGAAGCTTGAGGTTGCACCTTCCAATGGTGGTCCTGCACGAGATGGGCTTGAGGAAACGCTAAATCATTGGCAAAAACGAATTCTGCCATTACGCAAGCGGGACAGGCGGGCAGGGGTGGGGCTGCGACAGGGGGCTGTGACTGGACCCTCGCAGGCCTGCACTGGCCTGCTTGGGCGGCGTCAACCCCGCAAATGCTGTGGGGCGGCTCCCGCAGCACAGGTCCCACCGGCGCCCCACAGTGAAGTCAGGAGAACTGAGGGGTTCAAGATGGCGCGCGATGGGGTGATGGTGGTAAGATGGCGCGGGAAGCAGAGACAGCTGGCCATTGACGCAGCCACGCAATTTTCCGGGCGGGGATCTCTGGCGAGATGATCTGGGCAGGCACGGCCGGCTTCAGCTTCGAACCTGCCATCCCTCCCAACAGCTGCCTCGTTTCATCGCTCAGGTACGTGCCCGCGGTGCCTCAGCTGCTGTTAGCTCACAGCGTCCAACAATGGGTCAATAGGTCAATGACACGGCTTCCCTCAATTCCCATCCCACCCATTTCACCCCCGCCTTGTACCTTAGGTAGCACGTAGTACCTGCCCCTTGGTCACCCGCTGAATGCCGGGCGTTGGATGGAGCACAATGGATGAGCAATGGATGGAGCAATGAATGGAGCAATCGTTTCAGGCCACAACTCTAGCAAGCTCTCGACCCCCAGCCATCCACACACATCACGTCCGCGTTAGGCAATAGCTTGCTGCTCCCGGTACCAGGGCGTGCTTGGCCAGAGGTGGGGTCAGGCATTGAGGTGCTGCAGCGAGAGGGCGCAGGGAGAGCAACGTGACCGGGCGGCACCAGGTTGACGCTTCATATATCAGCCTAGGGACTCCCTCCCCCTCAGCTGTCCTCATTAAGCTTCCCCTCTTCTTCATTTCCCTCTCCCCCATTGCCACCCTCATCGTCGCAAAAAGCCAGGTAACTTCCATCCCGTGTGCCTGCTCCCACACAATTGACCATCCGCACCACCACCATTTAGCCCATTGCTCCCTCCGTCCTTCATCGCACCGGAACCGACACCTCTGTAAGGGAATAGCAACAAACAGGTTTCGTCGTCCACCAAGACCTCAACACCCACACAATTCTTCACCATGGCACACAAGACATCTGCAATCCAGGGCGAGGAGCCTGTCGAGGTGCTCTTCGCCCTTCAGAACAAGTTCGACCTGCTGGACCTGGCTGGTCCCGTAGCGGCCATGAAGGCGGCGCTTCATGACAAGAATGACCCGAGTACGAGCCCACACGTTTTCCCACATTCCTCCCTCAATACGCCGCTCTCAATTCTCCGCAGTCGTTATGCAAGGCTGAGGGCTAGTGGCACTGAAGCTAACATGCACGCCTTCCTGCCCTCTAGACACTACGGCCTTCGAGATCACGCTGGCTTCGGCCGAGTCCACGGTCCTTTCCGACCAGGGCGTCATCATCAACTCCCAGATCACCTTCAAGGAGGCACACGAGCGCCTCAAGGACTTTGACGTTCTCGTCATCGTCGGCGGCGACTCCGACAATGTCATAAAGACCAAGGCCGAGCCCCTCAGCCTGATCACCAAGTTCTCCGAGATCCAAAAGGAGGACCCCGCCCGCGAGCGCACCGTCCTGTCCATCTGCACAGGCTCGCTCTTCCTCGCCCAAGAGGGCATCCTCGCCGGCCTCTCGGGCACCACCCACCCAGACTTTATGACGGCGTTTGAGAACCTGTGCAGCCACGCGGCCGTCAGGAACCTTGCCGAGCGGACCGACGTCATCGAGGACGCGCGATACGTCGTCAACAACCTTCGGTTCGATCTCGGAGACGAGGACGAGAACCCCTACGTCCACCGCAAGACGGACAAGGCCGACGGCCGCCGCCCGTCCAATGCCCGGTACGAAGACTTTTTTTTTCTTGCATGCATGTTTAGCCGAGGATACAAAAGACTGACACTTTCGCCCCGCAAATTACAGCAAGGGCAGCATGTCCTTCAAGAGCTCCGGCCGCCGCGAGTCCATCACGCGTCGCGCCGCGATGCGCCTGGGAGGTCTCCGGGTCATCACGAGCGGGGGAAACAGCGCTGGCATTGATGCGGCCTTGTATCTTGTCAGCGCGCTTGTTTCGGACGAGGCCGCTGACGAGGCTGCTCGGGTGATGCAGTGGACCTGGACCAAGGGCGTCGTCATTGACGGCCTCGACGTCTAGAGGGGAGGACAGAGAACTCGGCCCGTGTGGAACAGGGCAATAGCCTGGTCATATGCTGGCTGGATAGTGAGTGTACAGAGAGAGAGCTGCGCGGGTTAAATGTGCGCCATACTCGACAATGAATAAAAAAGTAAAATGAAATGAAGCCACGCCATGTCTGGATTTCCGGTGCACCTGTGCTGTCGCCGTGCGGTTGGGGCCCATTTCCTTTTCTAATGAAGACGATTGCCAGAAAAACGGGCAGACATCACGTGTTTCCCCACGGCGGAGCTATCTGTCATGTGTCGGACGATGCTCGCGTGGGCTAAAACAGCTCCGCCAGCTCAAAGCGTCCAATCAACTCTTGGCAGAGGGCTGCTTGAACTTTTCTTGATAGCGCCCGCTCGACACCACGCCGAGACCCAGGCCCCGACCCGGAGACGCCGAGCAAAACCTCTTGCGGCCCGGAAAGACACTCCGCGCCAGGCCAATTGCACGAACACGGGCCTAGTTAGAAACTTTGCCAACCCGTTTGGTCCCTTTTCTTCTTGTCAGAATCTCGACCCCGCTCGGCGCAAAATGTCGGCAGCAGCATCAACCTTGAAAGTAGCCACGGGCTACGGCGGCAAGCGGGTCTTTCTGTGAGCAACCCTCCCCTCCCTCTTGGCCCAAGTCTCGCTCTCCTCCTTTTGCCGCAAGAACGAAAAAAAAAAGAGTTGACTAACCAACCGGCGGCCGCGCGGGCAGACCGAACCACGTCATCACCTTCATCACGCCCAAGCCCCTCCAGCCGCCCAACTGGGCCACCTTCATCGTGCCGCTCAAGTTCAACAAGCTCGACCTCAAGGACTACCTGCGCAACGCGTACGGGGTCGAGGTCGGGAGGATACGGTCCTTCATCTCGGGCAAGCCGCTCGTCAAGCACAAGGAGTTTAGCGACGGGCGCGAGTCGGTGCCGGGCCAGACGCGGCGGCCCCGGTCCGAGAAGAAGATGATCGTCGAGCTCGCGGTGCCCTTTGTGTTCCCGTCGCCGCCCGAGGACCTGGCGCCGTGGGACAACGACATCTTCAAGGCGGTCCAGGCCATGTCCGAGGGCAACTCGGCCGAGGTCAAGGGCCTGCGCGACAACCGGCGCCGCCTCAACGTCGCCAACCGGCCCGTCACCAACAACCGCATCTCGCTCGCCAAGCAGGCCGAGGCCCTGCGCGCGCGCGGCGAGGCCTGGAGCAACGACTCGCCGCTGGACGACAAGTGGATCGAGGTCGAGAAGGATATCGAGCTGCCACCCGGCCAATGACATGTTCTTTACTCGTGACCTTGTGTATATTACATATTTTGTACGATGGATCCGGCCTGGCATCATAGCCTCTGTTCATGATTGTAGATCTCTTGCTATGGATCCACGCTCCTCTCCCATGGCAGGCCCCGCGTTTGTTTTTTCAAGCGCCCAGTGGCTGCGGTGTTGGAAACGCAAGACGTCGTCGCCCCAGCTCCACCAGCCGGCGACCAGGCTCCTGGCAAAGACCTCGAGTCCGCGGAAGCCCGGCTGGAGGACCCCCTGGAAGAGATGGCGCAGGTTGGGCTTGCGCGAGTGCACGTCCGGCACCGCGATCAGGACCCTCCTGTCCCACCCCGCGGGCAGCGTCCGCGACGACCCCCTCCTCCGCGCCACCAGCAGCGGCTCCCACGGCTTCCGGAACTCGGACTCGACGGGGAAGACGGGCTCGCCCCGCGACGTCACCTTGAGCCACGCCCACTCGCCGACGAGCTCGAGCCCCCACTCGTCCAGCAGGGAGGCCAGCACCTCGGCGAAGGCCGGCTTGTTGGTCACCCAGACCGCCACCAGGCCGTCGGGCGCGAGGTGGGCCGCCACCGGGACGAGCGACAACAGCCGCCGGACCTCGGCCGTGCCCGCCGCGAGGTTGTACCTGCCCCTCCCCTTCTTCCTGGCCGCGGACCTGTTTGGCCACGGCGGGTCCAGGACGATCAGGTCGAACGCGGGCGGCGCGCTCTCTACAAAGGCCTGCCGGGTCGCCTCGATACTGCCGAGGACGTAGTGTGATGCCGGCGGGAAGAAGTGCTCCTCTCCCGCCTCTGCCTCTGCCTCTGCCTCCTTTGGACCGCTTACCGTAGCCGTCGACAAAGCGGCCGCCTTCCGCTTCCGACTCGATCCAGGGTTGCAGCCGCCCTCAGCCGCACCGTCAGGGCCCGCGCCCCGACCAGACGGCTGCTGCAAGGCACGGGGCAGCAGCCAAGGCCCCGCGTGACCAGCCCGCACCTGGCCCAGGGCTCGCTCGACGGCGCACCGAGCCATCAGCTGCGCGACTTGGGCCGCGGCGCTGGGTAGCGCGTCATGGCGCGGGCGCTTGGGCTCCGGCAGCGAGAAGGGCGTGTGCGGCGGCTCTGTGGAGATGAGACAGCGGGTGTGGTGTGCTGTTTGTGATTTTGATACTGCTGGTTGCGCTCGACCGGGATCCTCACCCTGGCTCTCTTCGATGGACCGAGGCAGGTCGAGCAGGACGACGGTCCCGTCTTCGCTCCGGAACAGCACGGACGAGCTCATGTGCCACTACAGTGTTGGTAATATTGGTCAATGTCCGACAAGTCCGCGTTTTTTTTTTTTGCCAGTCACGAGGTCTCGTCCAGGGCTGGCTACGGTTACAAGGGGGCGCCCACTGAACGCCTCTGAAAGGCAGAAATCGCAGAATGCCATAATCGATTTGGTGAATGCGATGAACCGTGCGAGATTTTACGGCACAGCTCAATGTGCAGTGGGCACCCTCGCTCGGCAACGCTCGGCTCATGGCGGTTTTGCGGAGGGCGACCCACTTGGCACACGGTGCCTTCAGCGAATGGCATGGCGGTCCAGACCCCGAAAATCCAGCCGACGCCCCCCAGCGCCAGGGGGGTGCACATGGGCCACGAGCCTAGAAGATGACGTCCGCCGCCGTTGTGGCATTTCCGGAATCCGACCGAAACCATCACCTATTACCGATCGCGCCGTTCGAAATTCAAAGAGATTGATTGCCTTGCCTGGTTCTGTTGCATATTTGATCCTTTGTCCTGCTCCTCACACGCATCCGCCGTCCGATTATGCACCTAGCCCATCACCTCGGTCACAACAGGTAACGCGCAGTTTAGTCCCGCTTGACCGCCTTGGACAGCGATCGCCATCGCTAGAACCACGACACCAGCGAATCAAGTCGGTAGCGGAATGCCGCCGGCGCATGCAAGCCATCATGCCTCAATGCCGGGGATATCGCCGCACCAACCACGAGAGGATAGCGACGTCGTCCGCCCCATCGCCCGGCCCCTGACAAGGAAAACGGACAAGCAGAGCTTCGAATATGTCTGGCGCTCCGGTGTCGCTGGCGGCCTTGCCGGCTGTGCTGTATGTTATCTTGGCGGCGAGAAAGAAGGGGGAGAAGGAGCTGCGTCGACGTACCGGCAAGACTAACAAGCCTATCACAAACACAACAGGGCAAGAGCGTGGTCGCCCCCCTCGACCGTGTCAAGATCCTATTCCAGTCCAACAACCCGCACTTTGCAAAGTACTCGGGCTCGTGGGCCGGCGTGGCGCAGTCGATCCGCCTCATCTACGGCCAGGACGGGCCCGCCGGCCTGTTCCGCGGCCACTCGGCCACGCTGATCCGCATCTTCCCATACGCTGCCATCAAGTTCCTAGCCTACGAGCAAATCCGGTCCGTCGTCATCCCGGACCACAATCACGAGACGCCGCTGCGCCGCCTCGTCAGCGGCTCCCTGGCCGGCGTCACGTCCGTCTTCTTCACGTACCCGCTCGAGGTGGTGCGCGTGCGCCTCGCCTTCGAGACCAAGCGCGAGGGCCGCTCGTCCCTGACCGACATCTGCCGCAAGATCTACCATGAGCACCCCGTGGCGCCACCGCCGCCGCCACACCCCCATGGTGTCGCCGGCGCGGTAGATGCGGCCCTAGCGGCAGCCTTGCCCAGACCGCGCGGCGGGCTGGCCAACTTCTACAGGGGCTTCTCGCCCACCATGCTCGGCATGCTGCCGTACGCGGGCACGTCGTTCCTGACGCACGACACGTGCGGCGACCTGCTGCGCCACCCGCGCGTGGCCGAGTGGACTACGCTCCCAGGGGGCGAGCAGCAGCAGCAGCGCGGCGGTGGTGGCCACCGCAGGCGCGCCCCGCTGCGGTCCTGGGCCGAGCTCCTGGCCGGCGGCGTGGCCGGCCTGGTCTCGCAGACGGTGTCGTACCCGCTCGAGATCATCCGCAGGCGCATGCAGGTCGGCGGCGCCGTGGGCGACGGCCGCAGGCTGCGCATCGCCGAAACGGCCGCCATCATCATGAAGGAGAGGGGCGTGCGCGGCTTCTTTGTGGGGCTGACCATCGGCTACGCAAAGGTTGTGCCCATGGCCGCCGTGGCGTTTTACACGTATGAAAAGAGCAAGACCCTGCTTGGGATCTAGCGAGGGAGACATCGTTTCTATATCTGTGGCTTGCTTTCTTCTTCTCCATGCCCCCAGACACATCTGGTCTCTTTCTCTTTTTTTCTTTCTTGATATCACGGTGGCATTCTCCTGGATTTCGATACCTTTATATACACGGGACAACATGGTTCCAAGGAGGGGTACATTGGGCGCTCACGATGGCGGCGATTCTCTGGCAGTATCACATAGAAGGCAGTATGAATCTATCGACATTTATTTCTTGTGATTGATGGTCTCGGGAGATGATGACGTAGGGTCCAGTGTCCCGAGTACCCACCTGCCTCTTTCCCTTCCAGCCTGGGAGGCAGCTACGATGGCTCGCAACCTTCTTTGTTCGGCATCTAAAAAGAACGGACGCGGGAATGCCAAGGTGAAATGATGCCGCTAAATAGACGATGAGCGACCACCATTATCGGTGATCAGGGATTAGCAAGGGAAGTGGTCTGCACCGACCTTGACGGAGTACCGGTATGTGTATGTATTATTTGAAATCTAATATTACCTGTCATCAAGCCTCTTCTATATCGCCCACATACCACCTACCGACCTACCTAGGTACTCACCCCCCACCCACCTCCTGCAGCCTCAGCTATACCTGACCTTCAGCGAGCGCCACAGCCACCACGAACGCACAGCATCCCTTGCCCCGACTACCTAATCGACACCACCATCCGAAGCTTCACCACCTGTAATGATACCACAACAAGCAGCCGTCGTCGCTAGGCAAAATCCGTCGGCCAACTAGAGCACCACCACCACCGCGCTAGCTACTACCGCGACTGGGGCTCGAGGGCGGCAGCACAGGGCTTGGGAGGGCCCTGGAACAGACAGCACGCCGTCCCCGAAGCAGCAGCAGCCGCAAAAATGCAGAGGCCGATTGTGGGCAGGTCCTCCAGCGAAGGCGTTCAACCACGCGCACCCCCGGGCAAGCCAGTACCCCTACCAGACGGACTATCGCCGGCGCCGCCCTCTCCGCCTACCCCGCCTTTGCCAGCACGTTCGTCGAGGCGGCCGCCTCCCTCGACGAGGACACATACCAGCACCAGCGTCGCATCTGACACGGCACAGGCCGGGGTGACGGTCGCGGGCGGAGACAACTCTTCATCTCAGGACCCACCGCGCCCGCCGCGGGAGGGGATGGAGTGGGTGTGGATGCCGGCGGGCTACTGGGCAGAGCGGCCGTCGTAGGTGGCGGCCGAGTTCATGTTCCGGTCGTCTTCGGCGTGGAGGCTCGGCCACAGATCGTCGCGGTCCGCCAGGTCGTCCCTACGGACAGAACCCGACATGACCAGCCTTACCGGCGAGGGAGCGTTGCTGCCGTCCACACCCGAGGTGCCGCCCTTGCAAGTGACGCCGTCGACGACGAGGGCGGCCCCGACGATGGCACTGACGCCGTTCATGTCGGAGCAGGCACACATTGCCGCCCTGCAGAAGGGGACGCCTCGGCCCGACGCCGTGCTGCAGCGCGCCGGGCGCCTGTCGACCGAGGACGAGGGGGGCTGGTCCTGGGAGACCGGCCGAGGGCCGCCCCAGTCGGCCGTATCGCCAGGCAGCGGCGGTCCTCGCAGCGGATATTCGCAGCGGTCGGATAAGGTCACCCCGGGCGTGTCGGGCGCCACTTCCGCCAAGACTGTCAACACGCCGAAATCTGTCGTCTCGGTGGGCTTCAAGACCAGAGCGCGGGCGGAAGCATCGCCTGGGTCCCCCGAGAAGAAGCGTGGCAGCAGCTGGGGTTTTGTCAAATTTGCGGGCAAGAGCCCGGTCCCTGAGCACGGCAGCCCTGCTAATGGCAAGAGCAGCAGCCGCGGAGGCGACCAGAGAAGGCAGCAAAAGAACCAGACAGGCAGCCGTCCGCGCCGGGTCAGTTTTGACACGGATCCAATCACGGACTACTTCCCGCCGCACTCGGGGCCAAGGGCGGCAAGGAAAGAAGACGCCGGCGTGCAGGTGGGAAGCGAGCTCATGGACATGGCCGTTGACGACAAAATGAGCACTCGCCCGTGGAAGTCGCTCGGGATGGCAGCGAGGAGAAAATCAACAGCATCGGCGTCGAACTTACGATCGAACATATCGGCCAGGTTCAGCAAGGCCATCAAGAGACTCTCTCGGCCGGGCCGCATGCTCCGAAAGCCTAAGCCCCCTTCTCCAATTCCTCCAGGGGTCACGCTCGCCGCCATTAACAACGGGCTCGCCAACGAGAGGCGTCCGGCACAAGAGTTTGACCCGGTTTTCCCTGGAGGAGTAAGGACTTAGATCCTCCTCTAAGCCCAAGCCCAAACCAGCTGATTTATATACATAGGCTAACCTTTGATTCAGGAGGCCGAGCGCATACCAACGCCCCAGCTCGTCGAGGACCGTTCTGGGAAGCGGCGGTCCCGCATGTTCGACCTGAACCGCGTCAGCGAGAAGCTTCTCAAGGGGGGGCACGAGCTGGTGCGGGAGGCGGACGGGGGTAAGATGGCCGCAGAAGCGGCAGCTCTCAAAGGAGTACCCGAGGACGACAAGGACCCGGCGCCGCCACCCACGAAGCCCACGCCTCAGGAAGCAGCAGGGCCCTCGGACGAGCAGCTGGCAATGCTGCTGGCGCCCGAGGTGCGCAAGCGGCTGGAGGAGGAACGGACGGAGGCCGGGCGCAACATCAAGACGATCCCGATCAACCAGGAGCTGTCGTCTCGAGTGCGCGAGTTCGACTTTCACATGGCGCCGCACAAGCCAGGCGCCAAGGTGTGTCCCCTGACGACGGGCGAGGGCATATGCGTGGTAGGTCCAGGCTGTTCTTTTTCTTTGTGGCTCGGCTCAGTTGATAACATGCGCGTCGCTGACCAGCCCTTTTCGCGACGCGACAGTACCATGGCAGGAGGACGGCGCCAGTGGTGGAGGAGGAGTCTGAGACATGTTCGGAGAGCACGTCTGAAATGTCGGAGGAGCAGCAGGGCCCGGCGACAGCATGAGGCAGGGGTTACATTGCGTTGGATTATCAATAGAGGAATAAAAACTAGAGTGAGGCATCAATTCGAACAATACCTGCTTATTGGAATCCACGAGGTTGATGTCGGAAGAAGCTGCGTGAGGTGGCCCAAGCTCCCGATTGACTCGCTGCAGGGATTCTGGATTTCAACCGACCGGCTGCTGGAACAAGGTAGGTAGCACAGGTACCTGGTAGAGTTATCTGTGATGAACCTTTTCAACATTCAACACGCTCAGCTTTGACCTCGCTCGACCACATTTACGGCCAGCCTCGACCCAATCCGCCTCGACACGGCGACCTAATTGTCGGCAGCCTTCATAGGTCCCTACCTACCCGACCGCCGCATTCCCTGCTAGCCGGATAAAGGCTGCCGTGGCCGCGCCAAGCGCGCACACACAGCTCCGAAACCGACGCCCGCCGCCATGGCGCCAGCCGATCAAGACCCCCTCCTGCTGCTGCGGCAGGCCATCGCGTCTGGGTCGACGGTCCTGCCGACAACAGCCGCGGAGCCGTCGGCGGGCGGCGGCGGCGGCGCAGCGGCGCCCGAGGCGAGCCTGTCGCAGGCGACGCACATGCACTTTGGCCTGCCGTCGGGCGCCGTTTCGGTCGCCATCGACGCGCCCACGCGCCTCATCTCGGGCGACAGCCCCGTCGACCTGCGGTCCATCTACTTTGCCTGGCTCAACCGCGAGGCCAGCGTGACGCAGTACATCGAGGACGCGAACCGGCTCAACGAGGAGCTGCAGCAGGCGGCGGCGGCGGACAAGTCGCAGACGACGACGACGACGCCCGTGCGCATCTACGAGTTCTCGAAAAAGGTCGACCTCACCACCTGGCTCGAGGGCACCAACGACAGGAACGAGCTGATCAAGCCCCTGGCCGAGGACGAGGCTGCGGCCACGGCTGCGGCCGCGGCGGCCGGCAGCGCGTCAAAGGGCGGTGCCGCCGCCCCGGCCGGCGCGGCCTCGGGCAGGTCGGGGAGGGGCACCATGGACCCGAGGCTGGCCGTGGTCTACAGCGGCGAGCGCCGCATGGGCGACCACAACACGGCGCTGCGGGGTATCAAGCCCACGGTGAGCAGACGCGCTCTCTCTCTCTCTCCCTTTGAGCTGTTATGCGGCTAGGATTACGACATACTAACAACTCCGTTGCCACCCTCCCTTTCCCAGGACTTCTCGCACGTCCGCAAGCTCGCAGCGCCCTTCATGATCAAAAAGTCGTCGTCGGGTCAGCACCCGTCCTCGGGCGTCGGGCCGGGCGGGCAGGCGCTCCCGCTCAACCAGAAGCCGCAGCGGCGGCCGGACCCCATCATCCTGCTCTCGCCCTCGGCGTCGTCGCTGCTGCGCATGTCCAACATCAAGTCCTTCCTCGAGGCGGGTCGGTACAGCCCGCCCGACCACAGCTCGACGGCGTCGATGCTGCACATATCCCGCACCATGCGCGATATCGACCCGGCCAGGCCCATGCGCTTCATCCTCGTCGAGGGCCCGGAGCAGTTCAAGCCCGAGCACTGGAACCGGGTCGTGGCCGTCTTCACGACGGGTCAGGCCTGGCAGTTCAAGAACTACCGCTGGCCCCAGCCGGCGGACCTATTCCGCCACGTCGCGGGGGTCTACGTCGGCTGGAGGGACCAGCCGCCGCCCGAGACGGTCCGCGCCTGGGGCCACCGCGTCCAGGTGCATGCTATCGACAAGTACCGCGAGCCGCCGACTGCCACCGCCGCCGCCGGGCTTCACAACCAGGCTGACAACAGTCGCTTCAGGGACAGGGAGGTGGTCGAGAGCATCTGGAAGGGCATCGAGGCCAACATGCGCTCCAAGGGCTGGCAGAGGGACTCGGGCCCGACGACAGTCTAGCACGAGTTCCCTTTTTTTTCTTTTTTTTATCCTTCTTCTTGCAGAAAGCAGCTAATCTACACAGCCCTTTTTCAAAATTATATTTTATGTTCTTTTTTTTTGTCTTATCCTCGAAGGCGTATCTAGAGGATGACCCAGGTGTCATCGTTATTTAGCGGCTGCGACCAGAAAAGATTGGGTTGGGGGGTCCGGCGTTTGGTTTGCTAGGATGACATCTTCTTTTGCACTCGGGGATGCTTTTATTTTGCATGGGAGAACAAAACTGTTTCTTTTCCAGTCTTGTGTACGATCAAAGTTGCTACCATTGCACAGGCAGCGGGAGTTTAAAGAACAAAAACTGCACCATGGTTCCCGTCCATCCATGCCTTGGACTCTCTCCAGGGTGGCTTCCTCACGATGACGCCAGCAGCGCTTTTGCGACAATCTCGTCGACCGACTCCTCCCTGACGCCGAGCAGTTCATTGTCCGACTCCTCCCTCGACGCGACGAAGCACCGCCGCCGCGCCCCTTCCTCCTCCTCCTCCTCACTTTCCTCCATGTACAGCTGCGCGACGGCCAAGTCGAGCGTCCAGCCGGACACGCCGTCGCGCCGCTTGGCCCGGCCCCTCTCGCGCACGCCGGCCGCGCTGGCCTCGCGCACCTCCCACTCCCCGGCGGCGGCGGTGGCGGCCCGAAACGCGGCCAGCAGCTCGCGCTGGCACGTCTGGGCCGACCGCACGCGCACGTGGCGGTTCGCCGTCGCGTCGGGCCGCCGCAGCACGCCCGCCACGGCGCGCCCGATGCCCTCCAGCGTCGTGCCCGTGAACTGGCGCGCGCCGCCGTCGTAGAGCGTCGCCGTCTTGGCTGGGACGTCGAAGCCCATGGCGGTGGGGAACTTTGCGAGGGCCTGTTGCATGCACACATCATCACCCCGTCTCAGTCAGCTCCATCATGACACGACCGCAACAGAAGGGTAAAAAAAACACCACCACCGCCATCCACCCACCCAGTCGATCGGCAGCCCGACAGATACCCCCGTCCACGTGAAGCCCGG